TTGTACACAAATGGAGCACAAATTTTCATTTCTCTGTACATGATGTAGAGTCATACCACATGTGCCATCATACATATACTTAGGGTAATGATGTTCGTCTCATTCCACCATCTTTTCTACCTCATACCCTTCCTCTTATTTCCCTCTCCTGAGCCCAATCAATGTTCCTCCATCCCCAGAGAACCAATTATGTATCAACATTTATCTATCAGAGAGAATTTTGGCCTTTGATTTTGGGGGATTGGCTTACATCATGATATTCACCAACTCCATCCATTTACCTGTAAATGCCATTATTTTATTCTCTTGTAATGCTGAGTAATAATCCATTGTGTATATATACCACAGTTTTTTTAAACTATTCATCTGTTGAAGGGCTTCAAATTATTCTGTTGCCAAAGTTTGGCTGTAGCAAAATAACCAGGAGGTGACGAACAACTTGTGTACGTTGATACAGCAGGGGTGGGAGCCCTTTATTGTAGGACAGGAGGGGTATTTATAGATGCCACACAGCTTATCTAATTAACATAAACTAGATACAGCAGTCAACCAATAAGGAATCTCCACACTTAATGGCTCACTGGCGCCACCTCACAAACCACTCACCCTGGCAATATGCCAGGCGCCATCCAGACTTGTTTACAGACTCTAACATTTGCCAGGTGCCATCCTGGCTTGTTTATAGACTCTAACATTCCATGAAATAGAAAAAGAGGAAACCCTTCCAAACTCATTCTGTGCAGCTAGTATCACCCTGATAGCCAAACCAGCCAGAGACACATCAAGGAAATAAAATTTCAGACCCATATCCCAGATGAACATAGATGCAAAAATTCTCAATAAAATTCTGGCAAATCACATACAAAAAAAATGCACCATGATCAAGTTGTGTATTCCAGGGATGCATGGTTGGTTCCACATACAGAAATCAATAAATGTAACTCATCAAATCAATAAACTTAAAGAGAAGAATCCTATGATTTTATCAATTGATGCAGAGAAAGCATTTGACAAAATACAGTACCTTTTCATGTTCAAATCATTAGATAAACTAGAGGTAGTAGGAATATACCTCAACATAGTGAAAGCTCTCTATGCTAAACCTAAGGCTAACATCATTCTAAATGAAGAAAAATTGGAAGCATTCCATCTAAAAATTGTTCAACATAATCCTTGCCACTCTGGCCAGAGCAATTAGATGAAAGAAATTCAAGGGAATATGAATAGGAAAAGAAGAACTCAAATTATCTTTCTTTGCCAACAACATAATTTTATACTTGGAGGATCCAAAAAACTCCACCAGAAAACTTTTAGAATAATAAATGAATTCGGCAAAGTAGCAGGATATAAAATTAATACCCATAATTCAAATGCATTTCTATACATCAGTGATGAATCCTCTGAAAGACAAATAGCAAAACTACCTCATTCACTATATATATATCTCACAGCTTTTTTACCCATAGATGAATCTAGTATCATCCTGATAGCTAAACCAGGCAGAGACAGATTTCCTTAGAGAGTCAAAGAAATAAAAAGCTAAGAGTGTTTGAAGTAAAACCAGAACATTGATAGTGGCAATAGAACAGAGAGATGTTCAGGAGAGAGAATCATTTAGGCTAAAAAACTAGCTGTGGGCAGCTGGGAGTTTGGCTAGTGATAGAACAGTTGCATAGCACATGTGAGACACTGGGTTTGATACTCAGTACTGCATAAAAATAAATAAATAAAATAAAGGTATTGTGTCCATCTCTATGTAAAAATTATTTTTTTTAAAAAAAAAGAAAACTAACTGGGCCGTGAGAGAGAAATTGACAGTAATGTTTCTGTTTCCAGTATACGAAACGGGGAGTATATCCCACATACAAAGATGGAGCAATTTTTAGAGGTGTTTTTCTTCCTTCTGCTACTGAGTTCAGTAGTTCCTTCTACTTACATGCATTTTATCCTAATATAGTATTCTGAAACTCAGTTTGGTGTGTGGTAAGTATCATAATGAAATAAAGAATTCTTTTCCTAGACCCACCAAACTTGACCCTTGACAAATGTTTTATAGTCTTCTATAGCCCAAGTTTTTTCCACCCTTCTCAAGTCATAGTAAACTACCATTAAGAACATCTATTAGGCAAATCTCATACACTTTATGTGTTCTTCTTTTCAGGGTTGTAGACCATTCTGAAGAAAACTTGATCAACTCAAAAAACTTGGGGGTGGTATTTGGACCCTGTCTGATGAGGTCCAGGCCTACAACCACTCCTCATACCATCTCCTCCTCCCTTGTTGCATATGCCAATCAGGCCCTGTTGGTAGAGTTCCTCATTACCAATGCACAAATGATCTTGGATGGGTCCCTAGAGCCACAAAATGTTTCATCTAGTACTGATGTTGTTGCACCTTGGGTGGATAAAAGCCTTCCTTCCAAACCCATAATATCAACAGAACATTCCACAAAGTCACAATATTTTTCTACAAAGCAAGTGAGTTTTGACCATTACAGAATTGGATTAAATTTGTGATGTTTATGTTAACAAGTTAATAGTTTTGAACTGTTTTTTTTTTTTGAGATGTATTTTGCTTTTAGTTTAAAACTTTTCTTGTATCAATAGGATATCCACACTGCAGATATTGAAATTAAAAATTAGGAATTGGCTACATCACTTGAGGAGTCAGAATGTAAGCAAAATGCATTGGAAAAACTGAATGCATGTCTCATTGGTGAGTGGTCATGTAAGATATATCTTTGCATATTTCAAACCTTTCCAAGAATTTGTGATTAAAAACCAAGTTGAGGGCTGGGCTTGTAGCTCAGTGGTAAAATGCTTGCCACTGAGGCCATAAGTTGGATCCTCAGTACCATATAAAACAAATAAATAAAGATAAAAATATTGTGTCCATCTACAATACTCATCTTTTAAAAAAATCAAGGTGTATTAAGTTGAGGTAAGTTCAAACTTCAAGGTTTTATTAGTTAACTTTGCTACTCATTGAGAAAGTTTAATGAATGTCATTTAAATGAATATCATGCTTTGTTCCTTTTCTTTTAAAAAGATATCTTGAAATTCATAAATTATTTTTGTTCTCTTTCTGAGATTTGTTTTCACCTTTACTTCTTTGTCATCAATTAGAGTCAAAGCAGAAAAATCTGAACTCCTGAAACTCAAAAAAATAGACGCCTAAAGTTTTTGATGTCCGTTTACCTGGGCCTAACTTTAGCACACTAAGCACATATGTCTTCCATTTTCTTGGCTCCAGTCTTTTTGTTCACTGTTTTTTGATCATTTTATTTCAGTGAATGGTTTCTGGTAAGGGTGTTAATGACCTTTCATTCATCACTGCTTTAGTAGAGCTAAATCCAAATTTTTCAATATATGGCCATAAATGTAAAATTATATATATATAAAATTAATGAAATATCAATGAGTGTAGCCTGAGAAATTCTGAAAACAAAGACAATTCATTACCTCTTTGCAAAGAAAAGCACTGGACTCACTGATTCCATTTATATGATTTGATCTTATTAGCACTTCTGTGCTATGAATCTTGGCCTCATTTAAGCCATAGCTAACAGTCTAAGGAAGGTAAATAATGCCAAGGATCTTGTCCCTAAATTATTGTTGATTCAGGATTTGAACCTCATCCTGTGTCATTCCTAAATGTAACCTTGTTTCACTGTCCAATGAAATTGTATTCCCAGGTAGGTATAGTAATAACAATAAATAATTTTAAAATATGTGAAGTTTTCATTTCATACCAGGTAATTCTGAGCCTTTTCTTTAGAAGATCATTAACACCACATGCCAACATATCTCCACATAGGAGTCTGTCTTGACAGAAGAAGGCAGGTAGGGCTAGTACACTAGACTTGCCCAGGGCAGAACTGGAGCAGGAGCTGAGACAGCACCCAGGCAGCTAGAAGTGGTGCTAGAAATTCTGCAGGACTGTAAATATGTTCTGGTGTTTGCCATCCAACCACAATGGCTCAGCTCCCTTCTATCAATGTGAAGAAGGGTCCAGGACAGCAAATCACATGGGCATTGTCTGGGAACCAGAGAAGAGAGGCCAGCAGCCTCAGGTGAAAAGGGAGGTCAGATGAGATGATGACCTGTGATCATCACCAAGTGATGCTGGTGTGACCCTGTCTGCAAACCACTTCCCAAGGATATGGGAGAAGGACCAGGTGGCAGGGTTGAGGACTGTGGGCTATGAACAGGGCTGTTGAAAATCCATCATACCAGTGGCAAGGCACACATTTTTCTGATGTTTCTCAGCAGTGAGAGGAGGATCATAGCCAGAGGGCTGCACTTTTCTAGCAACAGCAGCTTCTGGGGTACTTGCAGCAACATCAGAGTTTGAGATGCTAGCGTTCTAGGTGAGAAAACAGGGGCCTTGGGACCAGACAAGAGGAGAAAGAGAAGGAAGTAAATCTGGAGTCACCAGGACCAGTAGCACAATGGCAATTTTGACAGCTCTTCAACCTTCCTTTGTCCAGAGGATGTTTCCATGTATTAGTGGATCAACTGTGAGATAATGCAAGTCCTCTGTGGTGTCTTGCCCCCAGTATGGACAGAATGTAGCTGGAAAGCAGATTAAGTGACAGGCAAAGTCCTTGGAATTCAGGACATGGCATTTGTTGCTGTACAGAATAGTGTTACTATTCTAGAGTTACTACTGTCTGCCTGTTGAAATCAGGAAAGTCCTAACCCAGAAAATATTCATTCATGGGTAATAATTAAAACAAGTTACTACAGGAAGTGTTTTTTTTTATTTTATGTGCTTTGTGACTATTTGTTCTATTAAGATAAAATTTAAAAAGTAATGCTTTAATTAAAAATGTGCCTTTAATATTGTATGGATTTTTAATTCCTCTGCATAGATCACTGAGAAAATAATGTTGGTAAAAAATATGTAAGACTCTGTTGTTTGAGAGAATTCCCATTCATAAATAACCACACTTCCTTATTAACCAAGCTCCATGAAGGTAAAAAACAAGACTCTTCTTTTTCAGATCATAAAGAACTTGAATCATCATCACAAAAGATGGACAATACATGTAAAACCACAAAACCACTTAGTCTGAAATCTGATGTGACAACAAATGATATACAGATGCCTATGCCATGCCCTAAGATCAGATGTTTCTGTTTGCCTGCAGATATGTTCCCTCTTGCAAGCTCTCCTAATGAGAAAAACAGCAGAAATGTGGGAAATGTCAATTCAGACAAGTTTTTCCAGAATCTTACCTTTGAAGGACTTAATAGAAAAGATACCCCTACTACTGTTGGCTCCCAAAATAATGGTTTTGATCAGCAGATTCCACAAAAATCTCAGGGACAACAATGCGAAGCAAAGAACTTAACTGGCACAAGTGCAGTGATTTTGCCAAGTGTACTCCAGGAAAAAGTGACAATGAGCATCAAGGTTAGTAGTGACCATTCCAAAGGTGCCACACAGCCCAACATGCCAGCCAGTACAGCAAGAGAGGCACCAGTGAGACTGTCCTCTCATTCTCACCTTCTTGCTCCTGCAAGAGCTCCCAGAATACTGCAGCCCCATCTCACGACAACATTTTACAAACCACCTACCCTGACCAGCAAAGTCAGGGGGACTGAGGAGAGACCAGCTTCACCTTCAGCAGCAGTGCCTCCTAGCACAGCTCTTACTCCCCTGAGTCATGTGAAGAAAGATGTTCCAGAGGCAGACAGCACATCAGCTTATGCTTTGAAACCAGCTGCTGAGCCGAAAGAGAACTCTGAGGAGCTCAGCCTGCCTGACATGAATCCAATGTGCCAGGGACTCAGGCTAAAACAAATGGAAGAGTTACAAGACCTTGAATTTGAAATGCCACAGTTTGTGTAGGTTGTCAAAATTCAGTTTTTCTTTTTCTTGTTTCGTTTTTATGTATTGTGTTTATTCTATGAAAGAATGTTGTGACAGAACCCCTTTTGTATAGGATTGCCAAAGTGTATATTTTGCCTTTTGGCCTTGTATCGTGTTTGCTAGTCATATAGAATGATAATGTTTTAGTCATATAGAATGATAGTGCTCACTGGTATTGTCTTTAAATTCTGTGTTTTTGAAGTTATGCATAAAATAAGTATTTTAATTTTTAATTTAAAATAATTTTCTCTATAAACTGATTCATGTAAATGCATCTTTAATGTATAATATTGTTCTCAACAAATAGGGGCAGTAGGGGAAAAGGAGCTTTATTTTGGAGTAAACCTAGTGCTGATTCATAAAATGCTTCTAAAGGCAAGTGCCTGAAAAATCTTGATTGGGTATGAATATATTTTTTCCCACATAACATTCTAGTGCATCTTTGAACACTTGTGTTGTTATAGCATGTATGGAAGCATTGGCAATTCACTTAACTTTTTTAATATTTACATAGTGGCCTAAAAGCTTGTGAATCTGTGTTTACTAGCATTCTACTTGTCAATTGTTACATATGGTAATTAATACAATTGTAGAAAGAAAATTCACTTCAATATTAAAAAGTTTGAGACATTGGCAGAGATAACACAGATGGACAGAGTTGAGGCATCTCAAGTGTAAGAGACCTGTAACCTCTCTGCTCTCAGCTGTGGGCTGTTGCTGGATTTCCTATGACTTCTGGCTGTCTGCTGAGGAGAGCAAGTGGCCAACAGCTTGGGCAAGATGAAGCTCTCTGTGGTGGCCACGGTTCTGATGCTGCTCTATGCAGCATGGCTGAGGAGGATGACAAGAAAAGGACATGGGTACCGTGGTTGGCATTGACCTGGGGACCACTTACTCCTGCGTTGGGGTGTTCAAGAATGGCCACTGGAGATCATTTCCAACGATCAGGGCAAGTGCTTCAGGCTGTATTATGTGGCCTTCACCCCTGAAGAAGAACGTCTGATCTGCGATATAGTCAAGAATCAGCTCATGTCCAATCCTGAGAACATGGTCTTTGATGCCCAGCGGCTTTTTGGCAGCACTGGGAATGACCCTTCTGTGCAGCAAGACATCAAGTTCTTGCCTTTCAAGGTGTTTGAAGAGAAACCTAAACCATAGATGCAGGTTGATATTGAAAGTGGGCAAACTAAGACATTTGCTCCAGAAGAAATCTCTGCTATTATTCTCACTAAAATGAAAGAGACTGCTGAGGCTTATTTGGGAAAGAAGGTTACCCATGCAGTTGTTACTGTACCGGCCTGTTTTAATGATGCCCAGCAGCAACCAACCAAAGATGCTGGAACTATTGCTGGCCTGAATGTTATGAGGATAATCAATGAGCCTACAGCAGCTGCTATTGCTTATGGCCTGGATAAGAGGGAGGGAGAGAAGAACATCCTGATGTTTGATCTGGGTGGTGGAATCTTCTATGTGTCTCTTCTCCCCATTGACAATTTGATGTCTTCCAAGTCATGGCCACCAATAGAGTTACTCATCGGGGTGGAGAAGACATTTATCAGTGTGTTATAGAACATTTCATCAGGCGGTACAAAAAGAAGACTGGCAACGGTGTTAGGAAAGAAAACAGAGCTGTGCAGAAACTCCAGCATGAAATAGAAAAGACCAAGTGGGCCCTGTCTCCTCAACATTAAGCAAGAATTAAAATTGAGTCCTTCTATAAAGGAGAAGACTTTTCTGAAACCCTGACTTAGGCAAAATTTGAAGAGAAAACATGGACCTGTTCTGTTCTACCATGAAGCCTGTTCAGAAAGTACTGGAGGATTCTGACTTGAAGAAGTCTGATATTGATGAGGTTGTTCTTGTTGGTGGCTCTACTCAAATTCCAAAGATTCAACAACTTGTTAAAAAATTCTTCAATGGCAAGGATCAGTCCTGTGGCATAAACCCAGATGAGGCCGGTGCATATGGTGACACTGTCCAGGCTGGTGTACTCTCTGATGATCAAGATACAGGTGACCAAGTACTGCTTGATATATGTCCCCTGACACTTGGTATTGAAACTGTGGGAGGTGTCATGACCAAACTGATACCAAGGAACACTTTCTTACCCACCAAGAAGTCTCACTTCTTTTCTACAGCTTCTGATAATCAACCTACTGTTCCAATCAAGGTCTACAAAGGTTAAGGACCCCTGAAAAAAGACAACTACCTTCCAGGTATGTTTGATCTCACTGGAATTCCTCCTGTGGGGTCCGCCAGATTGAAGTCACTTTTGAGATAGATGTGAATGTTATTCTTTGGGTGACACGTGAAGACAAAGGTTCAGAGAACAAAAATAAGATTACCATTACCAATGACCAAAATTACCTGACACCTGAAGAAATTGAAAAGATGGTTAACGATGTTGAGAAGTTTGCTGAAAAAGACAAAAGACTCAAGGAGTGCATTGATACTAGGAATGAGTTGGAAAGCTACGCCTACTCTCTAAAGTATCAGATTGGAGACAAAGAAAAGTTGGGAGGCAAACTTTCGTCTGAAGATAAGGATACCATGAAAAAAGCTGTAGAAAAAAAGATTGAATGGCTGGAAAGCCACCAAGAAGCTGACATTAAAGACTTCAAAACTAAAAATAAGGAACTAGAAGAAATTGTTCAGCCAATTATCAGCAAATTCTATGGAAGTGTAGCCCCCCACACACACACTGACTGGTGAAGAGGATACAGCAGAAAGAGACGAGTTGAAGACACTGATCTGCTAGTGCTGTAACATTGTAAATACTGGACTCAGAACTTTCCTTAGGAGAAAACTGAGAGAACTTAAGTCTTAAATGTAATGGGAATCTTCACCTCAGGGTGGAGTTGAAAAATGCTGTAGCCCAAGTGCTTTACTGCTTTCCATCAGCAGTTGCTCATATGTTTTGGGGAAGAGAGAGAGGAGGAATTGGCTATCTTAAAAAACTGGATATAAAAATGTGGGTCAGGATGTGTGTTCACCTCAGAAATGGTCTATTTATTGATTGGGTCATGCACATCTGGTGTAGGAACTTTTTTCTATCATAAGTGACACCAATAAATGTTATTAAAAAAAATACTAAAAGTTTCGAACTGTCATAAAATAAAAATTTGTACAGATAAAACTAAGGGATAAAACATTATCAGAAGCATTAAAACCGTCTAAAGCCAAATAACTAAACTATATAATTTAAATTATAATATATTTATATATTATATATTATGTATTATATATTATATAATACATATAAAAGATTTACATATATCTATATGATATATTATAAATTGTTTATATATAATTATAATATAATCCAAGTTTTATATATTATATTAGTATAAATTATACTAATATAAAATTGTATTATTATCTTATTAATAATAGAATTATATTATTATATAATTACATTACAATGATGTGCAATATAATATAAATTAATATAAATCTAAATATATTATATGATATATAATAAATATGTTATATATAATAACATAATATTTATATATTTAATTTATATATTATTTTATTATATGTGTATATAATATATATGTATTTCATATATTATATATAATTTATATTAAACATATGAATCAAACATTTTGGTATGTAATATATATATAATTTATATAATATATACTTATATATTAATATATATAATTTATATATAAATATATAAGTAAGTATGTTATGT